TAGAATTTTTGTTGGAATAATTCCAGTCATTGTGATCTGGTGTAACAGGTTCTCTTAGGCCTGCATTAGGAACCAAGTAGAGTCAAACTTGTTAATCTTTTTATATAAATATCAATAAAAAAGGTCAAGTCACGGTGTTACTATCTTTGGGAGAGCTAAAAATAATTGATGTACCGGTTTAGAGCAGGACAGTAAACGATATAGGTCATATTGATGGTTATGAAGGGATATCGGATAAGTAAGGCTGGGGCCCGTAAGATACTTTTAGAGTTAATGGTGTGGGAATGTGAAAATATAGAAGAGAAATCTGGCGTGCAGATTATAAGAATGTAACGATTTGCACGAATCGATTCTTAAATAGATCGATTGATGTATGCAGAGTAATAAGTAATAAATAAATAATGAAATTCAGAAGCGTGAGAATTCGATGAAACAAGGAAAATTTTATAAGTTGCCTTTGGCTTTGAATTGCCTACTAACTTATAAGTGGGGAATTTTTATTTAAAGCAGATCTAAGTCTGAGAAATCTTTATTAAGGCGAAAACTCAAGGTTTAAATACATGTAGAATTTCCTGCGCTGCACTATACTTCTACGTGATAACAAGGATCTAAATCTTTCGTTTGTGTTAACCCGTCATTGAAGAAAACTATAAATTCCCCTTTTCTAATTTCTAAATCATTGAACGCTATAAACAAACCCATCTTTTATTCATTGGAAAAAAACTTCTAATTACTTCCATCTTTCCATCTTGTTAAACAATAATGAACAACCGCAGAATTCTTGGCCGTTATTCAATGCCTTGAACTTACGCGGTAGACTTTGAGTACCACTCCAAATCGGGAAATATTCCTAGACAAACTATCGCGTACTGAATTGGGAATAGCGTAGATCCATAATCACGCCTAAAAGATTTTCCCCCGTCACACCTAAGATCCAAATAAATCGGTTCTAACAATGCCAGGGAAGACTTAACCAAATATAGAATAATATACCATGGAACACTTTGTTCTACGGCAGATTTTTGATAATAAATAAAGGTCTTGGGGATGCAAGACATTAATATGGATAACAATAAATAATATTATAGAAATGATAATCACAATAAATAAATAAAAGATAACAAAAGTAGTACAATCGATTAAACAAGTCCAATCGAACATAGAAGGGTCGGAAAAGCTTCGAAACATCAGATCGAAAAAAATCTCAGTAACAACGGCCAAACCTGTTGACAAAAAAAAAAAAAAATCATTATTTAAATTGTAGAATGTTTTCCATTAACTCAGGTATATCGCCTGTAACTATTTTTATTTTATTAAGAGTTAAAAATTTAGAGAATTTTCATATAAGTGCCCGAAAAATGAAAATAATTACAGATAAGGGCCCAAAGTGAAAATAATTACATATAAGGGCCAAAATTTTAAAAAATATTACGGTTAAAGGAATAACATTGCAAATTTTTAGTATACAAAAAAAATTATTGTCTTTTGACATTTAAACATAGTATTTTTTAATCAGTATTGCATTTATTTTCAGCGCTTTTCATGTAAAAATTATAACTGCTTTTGTAATTTTTAAAATTTCTCTACAAATAAAATGAACTTCCCCGGTTCTAAATATCTACGATTAATGCATAGTAAACTTCACAAACTATTGATTCACTATTTTGCTGTAGCGACGGATAAACATATAAGTTTAGAACCAATAAACATTAATATATATCGTAATTAACCTAGTTGAATTGTTTCTTGGTTAAAAGAAAAGTTCATTAAGTACAAAATGTATAAACCAATGCATATATAATATGTTCGAAGAACCACTATCATCATAACGTTATTTTGTAAAACTTTTCAAAATTTAAGCTATATGTAATTATTTTTACTTTGGGCCCTTATTTGTAATTATTTTCATTTTTCGGGCCCTTATATGTAAATTCCCCCCAAAAATAAATGACGCTTGTTGATCTGCGATTTTTCAAGTACGTACGTACATACGTACTGAAATTTTAAAACACGAAATGCGTATCTACTGATCTATGTATACTATTAATAAACGCCTTCAAGATCGGATAAAAAAATTTTTATTTTTACAAATAATTCGAAATTTTAAATAAGAAAACATCTTCTGCGGTCTAATTAATAATGGTTCTTCTAGTAAATGTTAAATAGTTCTGATTCTAACCCTAAATTTAAAGCGGTTTTCTTGACTTTAATTTTACAAGAAACTTTTATTTTGATTATCACAAATCACGTTATAGTGGGAGATTTTGTAATCTATAAATAGGGTATAATTCATATAATACGTAATAGAGGGTTTTAACAATTTCTTGATTAATACGTACGTACAACACAAAAGTAATTCATGGCATTAAAAATATTTACAGGCAATATACCTGAATTAATGGATAATATTTTTAAGAATTTAAGCAATGAATATTATTCTTTATACTTTTGCGTGCTTGTGAGTCGATATTGGTGCAAAATGTCAATTCCCATTCTTTGGCAAGATCTGTTTTCATTCGGGAAACTCATTTCAAAGTATTTTTCATCTCTTGACGAGGGCAAAAATTAGGGTTGAAAGAATATGGAATAAATGAAGAATTCCCAAGACACTATTTAATTATGCAAGATTTCTAAAAGTTCTCGATTTATTCAGTCTAGAGTATATGGTTAAAAAGTGGGTCGATTTCCAGCCAGTTAGTTCGAGAACATATTACGATCCATTGATATGTCATATAATCAGTTCATTACTTGAATTATTTATTGATAGTGATGCCAATTTGCATCAATTATATTTATATATTTCCAATTTTATTGAACTTAAACCAGAGATCCTCCATTTACTAGAAGGAAACGAGAAATTATTTTCACAACTCCAAAAATTATCTTTGAAGGTATTTACATCAGCCGTCGTCAATGTCGAAAATGGTATTACATTATTGGAAATCTTGGCGAAATATACTACGATAATTTGTGCTTTGAAACTTACTGAATTTTATCCTTATTGTACGTATTGTTAAATCAAGCGCAACTTAGGCAAATCAAGATAGTCGGTGGAGATTACATTCGTACAGATTTCCAGGTATTATTTCGGCTTTAGAAAGTCAAAAACAACCAGTACAAGAATTGGAGGTGCTAATGAATTGTGAAAATTTAGAAATCCTTCGTATAAGATGTATAGACTATTGCAAAAATGTTAATATATCGAAGATATTAAAATCAAGTCATTGTAAGCTGAACACTTTAGAAATTGTTGATTCCCTGCTTGACACATCGATTATAACACAAGTTTTAGAAAAATTTAGATCATCACTACAGCGACTAAACTTGTTTCTGAAAATCCGGAGATTCAGGATGATTCTTTATTACTAAAAGATATTAAATTTTTCTGCCCAAACATTACATTTCACATATATTAAATTTTCCACTCAACTTATAGAACTTATTGGTAATTTACAAAATCTTCAATTTCTCACTTTATGTTGCGAAGTTGATTCCATTCCAGAGGAAGCGCTTAAAGTACCACTTAAGCTGTTTGCAGAATCATTGCCATTAACAATGCAATATTTTGATTCATCTTCTTGGTTAGATTCTTATATTGACATTTTGCTCAATAATTGCCGTGCTCCTTTAAAAATCTGTTAATTGGTAGGCTTGATATCGAGAAACAAATTAAAGAATTTTGCAAACAAAAGAGAACTTTGAATTACGTGGGTATTACAAATGGATATTATAGTCTAGATTACAAATTTATAAACCTATTTATAAAATACGTTAAATGGCAGCATCTAATCGGATTATTGTAAATTGTTAATCTTTAAAATTATTTCATCGCTTGGTAGTTAGTGTTGATTCGTACACGTTCTTTAAGTTCTTTGAAAATTAATATAATCGGTTCTTATTGTTAATATTGAACTATCTCATTCAATTCTATGAAAGTAGCAAATAAATAATGCTTCAATTATATTAATGAATATTGTGTTTATGCTAAAGTAAAGGGTTTGTTAATTTAAAATTAAGTCATAGATATTCAAGTTAAACCTTATGATTTTACGAATCTTTTACTTATTAGAACCGAATTTAAAATTCAATATTGTCTTATAAAAATTTTTAAATCTACTATTAATAAAACAGAGTTTATCGACTATTCAAAAATGACTTTTTTAAAAACCTGGATCGATAACTGGGCTAAAGAGAATAACATTTCCAAAAAGATTGGTGAAACTCGAGTGCGTGAAACTTGCCAGGTTCTACAGTAACTTTCGCAAAAAAATTTTATGAATACTACGTATCTGTATTCGAGGATATTTAACAGGAAATTTCCCCAATTGGTTGCCCGGAGTTGAAAAAATGATTATAATGTTGAGCAAATACTTTTTGGGAGAGAACAAGTTGTGCAAGTATTTATTTGATGTTTTGGTTTGGTGTAGTATGATACAGTAAATGTAATAATAATAAAAAACAACTTGAAAGAGCAAACCGAATTTTTAAAACATTTAGAGAACTCAAATAAACAATTAAATATTGGCTTCACGAAGTATATTTTTACTGTAGCATGATAAAAACTATGTTAAATGAGTGTCTGTGAATATAATACCTAGAAATCTTTATTTCATATGCGAAATATCACATAAAATATTATCTAAAATCGATTTCATGGTGAGAACAAATCCTGTTGTCAAATATTATGGATTGACGAGAGAACCATTATTTCAAAACTTTATGCTTGTATTAGAACCTATGACAAAAAACTTGGACTTTTTACTTGAGAACATCATTTCTCTTAATTGACAACAAAGAATTGAAATTCTTTATGATATTAAATATTCTCTTACAAAATTCACGGTTCTAACTTATTCTATCATGACTTACATCCTGGAAATATGTAACTTTAACATTGGTTCATTAGTGACCTTATAGTATGGAAATAATAATGCGACCGAATTGAGGAATACGTATTTGTGATGGTCAATTCATTCCTTTTGTTAATAAAATTTGGCTACGTAGAATTAATGAAAATGTGCATGTCTCAAAGAGACTTAATGCGCAATATTTGTTTGCTTATTTTGAAGATTAACTTAAAAGATATATATTTATAGATGAATTGATATTACTGTACCAGAATTGATCAATACCAATTATTCGTCGTAATTTACGTTGTTAACGTTGCTAAAAGTTTAATATCAAACATTTACTTGTCAAAACGATACTGATATCTATAAAGCAAATTAGATATTGATATGTTAAGATTACTCAAGTTTCAATAAATATTTTATCTTTTATAGATGAAATTGCACAAGATGAAGAAACTGGATTGATGCTGGTTATGTCTGATGGACAAAATAATGATGCGATTATGTATTTGCCCAAGGCAAAATTTTAAATTCAAAATTTTCACTTATATATGTTGTGCCCAGATGTCAATTTGTCCCAAATGTCAATTATCTCAAGTAAATTGACATCTGAGCCATCCCAATTGACAATTGGGACAAATTTAGGTTGGGGCACAAGAAATATCCGTTATATTGCTATTATTCCTACGCATCATATTTTATATGAGTATTTATTTTATTAATTTTTTTATGCTTTTTCTACTTTACTTAATATTATTTTATCATACAGTCATACCTGAGTTATATTGCAACTGGGTTATATCCCAGCTTTAAATATATAACCATTTTTAGCAGAATAAATTTCTGGTTTTATATGGTGAGCTATATTCCACCCAAGTTTTATCCTCAAAAACTCTGAAAAAAAGGAGTGATATAACTCAGGTATGACTGTATTTTATTTATTATTTATATTTTTTCAATTATAAAGCGCACCTATCACATACTTTTCTAAGTTTTTATATAAATATTTTTGACAAAATTTTTTTATGCAAGGGTTAGTTAGTATTTATGGTTTGGAAATATTTTTTTGGATCGTTGAACATTTACTCAGAATGTCTTGTACTGATTAATAATTCAAGTGTAAACACTATAAGCGCGTTTTATTAAAGTCTGCTTTTTTCAAATACTATTATTTACAGTCAACCTTACCTATTTTGAAAGCATATTTTATTAGATACGATAATAAATTTTAATTACAAAGAAATACTTAGTGTTTATTATCTCTTAATACGTTAAGCAGGCAAATTTGCCTGCAAAATTCAATTTTAATGTAATTGCCAAAAAATGAGGTGTGAGAGGTCCCCCTAAGAGATACCTCATTTAATTTGGCTAGACTTGAGTAACATATTGGCAAAATGCCGATTGTATAAATTATGTCATGCATGATCTGCACTAACTAGAAAATGTGCTAATCAGGTTTTGCTGCGCCACACATTTGTTGATCAAAATCCAAAAATTGGTTAATAAAGTTTAGCGACTTTTATAAATTGTTCACACTTATTCTCATGCTAAAAAATTACATTATTCCATAAGTTTTTTTTAAAAAAATGACATCCACCACGGGGATTTTTTTTTTTTAAAAAAAAAAAACTTCCGATTTGTTCTTTTTTTTTTATCTGCAAATAATTTGCAATCGTTTAAAGAATGCAACTTTAAATTTGTGTTAGAGATATTTTTATCACAAACGAAACTTCATAATTCAAATTAAATAAAATAACTTTAGTCAAATCATTTAATATTTAAAATTAGAAGGATAGTATTTTTGGCATTAAAATTAAAGGATAGTATTTCTGGTGTTTTTCTTAAATAAATAATAAAAAAGGTAAAACCTATTAACTAATTATTGGTTGTTAGTTTAAATTTTGATTCAAGCTTAAGAAATTTTTGTTAATTAGTTTATGATGATACAAGAAAATGAAGAATTACCTGATGAATTGGTAGACCTTTATGAGATTTCATTTATTTCACAAACACTTGAAGATCTTTTAGCTGAAGAGATGCTTAAAGACAATGATTATGATAGCAATGGTGATAATATAGAATTTAGTAATGATGCAAATGTTATTAATGAAGAACAAATCGAATCAAACATTGCAGCATTACTACAAAACAAAAAAAAAACTAGAGGAGGAAAAAAAGGTCGTGAAAGTAAAAATAGAGAAAATAATACAAGTTCAGAAAGAAAAGCTAAAGTAATTATACAATTACCTGTTCCTCCAGATTTTAATAATTTAGAACATAGTGTGCCATTTCATTCAAGTTTTGTTAGATTGCCATTAGTATTATCTAACAATAATATTAATCCGTATGGACTAATTAGACTATTTTTTTCATAATCGATTCTGATTAAAATTTTAACAAACACTAATGAATATGCAAAGTCAAAAAATGCCAGCATAGATGGACGAGTTTGGTTACCTTTAACATTAGCTAAATTGAAAATTTGGATAGAAATTGTTATATACATGGGTTTAATTAAGTTGCTGCAGGTAACAGATTATTAGTCAATTGATCCTAAATATCCTTAGCATGATATTATTCAAACAATGTCAATGATATGTTTTCAACAAATAAAAAGATACTTACATATTTCAGATATTAATTCTGAAAAACTTTATTGGTTTGATAAGGTTGAACCTCTTATGTCACATGTTCGAAATATTAGCAAACAAATGTATGTACCAGGTTCGAATGTAGCGATTGATGAAATGATAGTATGGTTTTCAGGGCATAGTAAACATACATTTAAGATGAAAAATAAATCTATATCTGAAGGTTACAAGATAATATCATTATGTGAAAAAGGCTATACTTACACATTTGTACTGGAATCACATGTTGAAAATAATAATGAAATTCAAAGCATTTTTGGTCTTAGCAAAACAGGATCTCTAGTTTCATATCTTGTTATGCAATTATCTAATAGTCGGGCATATAATATTTATATGGACAATTATTTTGCAAGTATGCCTCTTTTTAATTATTTACGAATTAAAGGTTATGGTGCTTGTAGTACAGTACGAACAAATTCTGCAATATTTTCTAAAGAATTAAAAGTTGAAAAATCTATACGTTTGAATTGGGATACTTTAGCTAGAGTAGTAGTAAATAATGTTTTAATAATTTTTTGGATGGATAATAGTCCCGTCCATATGCTCTCAACAATTCATGGTATCAAAGATAATGAGTAGAAAGTTTTAAGTTCAAGACGACGGCCACGAGAAAACAAGCTCAAATGCAAATAATGTATGAAATGTTTTTGGTGACGAAATCTGAAAAGAAATTTTAATTCCAAAAGCTATTTATGACTATAATCATTTTATGAATGGAGTTGATATTGCTGACCAATATCGATCTTATTACAATTGTCAGCTTACTGCTTCACGTACCTGGATGCCATTACTATTTTGGCTAATAGATACAGCCATAGTAAATTCATATATTATCTATCGGAAAAATGGTAAATAGTTTAGCTTATTTTATCTAAGCTTTAACATCAGTATTATTTTATATACTAATTAATAAGCTTTATTCTTTTAGATGGAGTTCTTAAATATCGACAATTTAAGTTGCAACTAGCATGGGACTTTATTGACGTTGTATTAAATAATGATAAAAAAATAAATAAGCAATCTTTAAATAAAAACACAACCTTAATTGTAGGCAAAAATTTTAAACTTCCAGTTATTCATCTTTTTGGTGTAGATCATTATCCAGAATGGAGAATGGACCGTGTAGCATGTGTTTGGTGCAGATGGGAAGCAAAAAATAGTA